GGGAGTGAACTGTGCGCTGTGGTGTAACTTACCCTGCATGTGTCACTTCCTTTCTGAGGGTATATATGCAGAAGGAGGTTTGACCTTGTGGTCTTCTAGCTGATGGAAAGTTGGGAGTGGAATCATATATGTGAGATGTGATCGTGATATCAACTTTGGGGCTACCCCAAAGCAGGATAATAGCCGGCAACTTGGTGGTTTCTTTGCAAATGCCTTATTGGTTACATAGATGCAGTACAATATCCAAAATACTAACACGCTTCAGCTTACAGAGCCTTCCTCATATCTTATGAGCTATTAGTTATGAATAAATACTGGAAATAGTGGACACTTTAGCCAGAGCACCAGACTCCTACTTCCATACTCTGACACAGCAGTTGAGCTTGGGTAAGATTTGTTTCTGTTTACCCCAAAGCAGGACCCTATGACCGGACTATGGACTGAACTTTAGTAGCCATTTTATCTTAAGGTATGGGTACCACTGCACAGTCACAGTCCCGTACAGTGCTTATAATAAAAGAGATGTTACCCTATATATATATGCAAAAGGTAGTTTGACCTTGTGGTCTTCTAGCTGATGGAAAGTTGGGAGTGGAATCATATGTGAGATGCGATCGTGATACCAAATTTGGGGCTACCCCAAAGCAGGATAATAGCCGGCAACTTAGTGGTTTCTTTGCAAATGCCTTATTGGTTACATAGATGCAGGTACAATATCCAAAATACTAACGCGCTTCGGCTTACAGAGCCTTCCTCATATCTTATGAGCTATTAGCTATGGATAAATACTGGAAATAGTGGACGCTTTAGCCAGCGCACCAGACTTCTACTTCCATACTCTAACACAGCAGTTGAGCTTGGGTAAGATTTGTTTCTGTTTACCCCAAAGCAGGACCCTATGACCGGACTATGGACTGAACTTTAGTAGCCATTTTATCTTAAGGTGTGGGCACCACTGCACAGTCACAGTCCCGTACAGTGCTTATAGTAAAAGAGATGTTACCATAAATGAGTTCCTATGGAAACTGTTAAAGAACACTATTTTCACCAAGTTGTTTCAGCAGAAGAAGTTATGGTTAAGATACAATGTCTGGTCTGATTTACTTGAAGAAAGAGAGAGAGTGTGCTTCCACAGTGCATTGGTGAACATGGTCTGGGGAATGAAGAGTTCAACTACAAGTTATAAAGTAACAGGAAGAAGGAGCAGCCAATTCGGGAGAAGGAGATGATGGAGGTTCCATAGGTGGGGTGACCAGTGGTGCACCTTGCCGAGTGGCTGGGTCTCTATCTCAGGGCCTACTGCACAATGGAATCCTCCTAGAGACTGAGCCTGGAACCACAGTGTGCAAGACCTCGTGATTATGTGTGGTAGCTACTCTATTTGCCTTTGGGCTGAGCACAATAAAGTGAGAAGAGCTGGTAGAGGAAAGTCAGTGCTCAATGCTATTTCCCTCAAAATTACTTCATAGTCAGTGCTGGGACAGGGGTGTCATTGGCAAGGTAATGAATGTGATCCTTCCGTGTGTGGGGCCTGGTGAAGTAGTTTGGACTCCACTCATGAGGGGCACTGATCCCACACAAAAAACAGTATAAATCTACAACATGTTGTTCCCACATGCTAACACGCAGGTATACATCAATACTTGTGCAAGTTTGCGTACTGACATATGCCCCTGGATGGATACAGTCTGCATCCAGAGGGAATATGCCAGTATGTGTACTTACGCAAATATTTGGCTCATACCCACATCCCGTCATTGATATATATGGGCATCTGTATGCAGCATGTATGTGGATCCTGGGTAGTGAAATACACCCAAATTTCATGCCACACAGTCTCAGGCACTCGTATTGATAGAGGCCTAAAAGAAGACTGTAGATACTTAGCACAGTCCTCCCTCTGACCTCCGCCCATTACAGGAGACAGCAGTGATTTGGAGGTCAGCAGGATGAACCAGTGGACGCTTCAGGGGTATCTAAGAGATAAACATTCCTGGAAGAGATGTTTTTTCTTTTCTGTGGACCTCACAAAATTTCCTGTGAATGGAGCTCGTGGTGCAGCATGGGCAGAGAGAGACATAAGTTTTCGCTGTTCTTTTACAGGTTTGACCTTTTAGAGGTTTTTGCTTTCATGACAGGGTCACCAAGGATTGACTTGAACATAATGTAGGTACTTTGGTGTGTTTTTAGCAAGGTCAAGTTCACTTTAATGTATGATGAAAACATTTTTGCTATAAAGCCTTAGTTTACCTCCAAGAAAACCACAAAGTAGTCATAAGTACGGCTTGACAAGTTTGCTTTGAATCTAGGAGCCAGCTAAAAAAGTTAGGAGGCAGGTTTTTTTGTAAGCCTAGCGTGGGTTGTCAGGGCCCGGGACTGCACACGATGCAATTTCCTACATGACAATCACGGCAAAACCGCACCACGTTTTAGGCGGCATTGAAAATAATGGCACCCGAGCCTGCGTTATGCGATCACAGTGATTCTGCCACAATCCAGAACGCACAGGTGTGAATGGAACCACCTTGGTTCACACATATGTGATTCTGGATTTGTTTTGAAACTCTCAGATTCGCATGACAGGCTAGATACCTCGTGTGTCACACAGATGCGATCCACACGCATTGTGTTTTAAGTGCCATTACGAAAAGGGTTCTGTACGAGTTTGTGCATCCCAGACTCGCAAGTGATAGAGTACAGTGACATGCAGAGATAAGGGTTCACATAGGTTTGCTATTGATAGGAGTTTTTGCACTGAAGTCCATGGGAGGCATTTTTTTCATTGAAGGCTATGGAAGGCCTTTACTCATTGAAGTCTACGGCAGGCCTTTTCCCATTGAAGTCTATGGCAGGCCTTTTCCCATTGAAGTCTATGGGAGTTGTTTTCTCATTGAAGTCTATGGGAGGCATTTTCTTATTGAAGTCTATGGGAGGCATTTTCTCATTGTAGTCTATGGAAGGCGTTTTTCCGTTGAAGTCTATCGGTGGTGTTTTTTCACATTGAAGTCTATGGGAAGCGAATTTCCCATTGAAGTCTATGGGAAGCGTTTTCTCATTGAAGACTATGGGAAGCGTTTTCTCATTGAAGTCTATGTGAGGCGTTTTCCAATTGAAGTCTATGGTTCATGACTTCCCATTGACGTCTATGGGACGCAACTTCCCATTGAAGTCAGTGGGAGGCAGTGTGTGAACCCCGGCATCAGGATGCATTTTCTATTCACCATGGCAACCTGGCGCCTGGTATTTGTTGAGTCCTGATCATAGAAGACGTGATGTGTTCCTTGTGTTTCTGTCTTCTACATTGCGTTCCAAATTATTATGCAAATTCTATTTAAGTGTCACAAAGATAAAATATTTTGTTTTTCAGTTTAACTCATGGATGGCATTGTGTGTCAGGGCTTTTTTGATCACTGAAAACAATCTCGGACACCTGTGATAATTAGATTGGCCGGTGAGCCCAATTTAAGGAAAAACTACTAAAGGAGGGTGTTCCACATTATTGAGCAGAGCACCATTTTCACACTGATCAGTTTTTGAGTACTTTTGATGCTTCCCATTGAGGGCCCTTTCACACTGATCAGTTTTTGATGCGCTTTTGATGCTTCCCATTGAGCGCCCTTTCACATCAATCAGTTTTCAATTTAAAAAGCGGAAGAAAAATGCATCTCTTTAAATCCTATGGAACTCTTCACACACTTTTCAGTTGTGTTTCAGGTGCATTTTTAAAAGTCCTGCTTGCTACATGTTTTGGTACATGTTTAGTGCATGTTTAAATGGTCCTTTCACATTAATCAGTCTTTGATGTTTTGTTTGTTTGGTGTGAATAATATCTCTTGGACTTATTTTTTTATTTTTTTGTAGGTAAACTTGGGCTTTAAAACAAGCTCCCTAGTTTTATGCCTGAACCACATCTTACAGAGGGCTGTCACTCATGTTTTGTTCTTCCTTGCAAGCTAGCTCTGTTTGGTGTGTGTAGTTTAGGGTAGATCCTAAATGAAATAAACTAAACTATTCTAACTACATTAGAAAAAGAACAAACCTTCTAAATAACAAAAAAAATTAAGAGTAGCTCATTTTATTTTGTAAAAGTTTGACTAAGCACCTCAAAGAGTTAAATTGAGAGCTTCCAGCTTGGAAAAATGTCTCCACTCATCCCTACTGACCACATTACATGCCCCAGTGAATATTATCTTACTAGGGTTATATCTATTTCTGTAGCTCGGGCATAACTAGGGAACACTGAGCCATTTACATCAGTTTGCCCCCCCATGGTGGCTTAGTCAAATGTGCCTTCATTTATCACTAATCTGAACAGAAATCATTTAAAATATATATAAACCCAAGAACAAAGATGTAACATATTCCAGTCCTTACATGTGGTGAGTTCATTCAATTTATTTTTAAAGACTAAGTACATTTTCTGCAAATATATATATATACCCATTGATCCTGTTAGAATTCCAATTCATGAGGACAGAACTGAGATCACAAGCAATGTTATCAGCCTTTCCAGTTATCCAATGTGGACTACAAAGCAACAACTCTTTATGCAATAAAGAGGAGTAAAGGAGGAGGTGTTTGCAGTCCAAATCTGGACAGCAGTGTTAGCAAACAGTGCTGCTCCTCCATAGATACAGCTCAGTCACCCAAAGACAGGAAATGGTTGCTGGCAGAATCACTAGGTAAATATAAAGGAAGAAAAGAAAACTAATGCAGCCACATCTAAGGAGTGGTAAACTGCAATGCATTATGTTTTTGTGTTCAAATATGCTCTACAGTAAATCTTTTGAAAATGATTGTTACCTTACTTTTTCCCACCCCTTCATCCTGCAATTACAACCATCCATTGCCTGCTCCCTCCAGCAGGTGGCACCTTGATGATTGAGGGTTCTCAAATGGAATGGACATGAAGTCAACAATCCTAGACCTCTGTCCTCAGGACTAAGGCGGTTCTTTACAGACATTTAACTAGGTAACACGCAACACCAAAAAACTAGATTTACAAGTCATGTCCCCTTTATGATCTAACAGCTTTGAAATCAACTTCCTCACCGATTCAGGAGACCAGATCGCTTTCCATTTCAATCCCCGTTTTTTCTGAGGGCACCATCATCTGCAACTCCTTTTTGTCAAGTCACTGGGGGCAGGAGGAAAAGACTGACCCTTCTCCTTTGGAAGCTAATGAGCCTTTCCAGGTATGATCAGGTCATGAGTCACAATGATGGTCAGTGACCATTTACAAGGATTCTTCATATATTAGCAGTGAAGCTTGTTAAAAATCTTGTAGACCACATCTATACAGAATACTGATCCAGTTTTCTTGCTTCTGACAATGGCAAAATGCTAATAGGGTATTGACTTTATTTTTAATTACCTTACAATGCCCTCAGTTTATACTGATATGATTGGCATATTTTAATTTTAATGGGTTGAAAATAACAGTTTTTGTGCTAGCTATATAAACTGTTAATTAGTGTCGGTAGAATAACAAAATGCTTTTGACATTGTACTGCTGTGTGTAGCTTGTAAAGTAGAGTACACAGTGAAAGTGAACTGCAAAGTCATGTAGACTTCCTTCCTTTCTTTTTTTCCTCCATAATATTTTCACCCTTCTTTTCATCTGTTGTTCCTTACTGCCTCCCTGTCTTCCTGTTTCTTCCTTCCTTCTTTCCTCCTTATCCTTTCCCTTCTTTTCATCAGTCTTTCCTTTCTTCCTTTTCTTTTCTTCCTCCTTCCTTCCTTCCTCCCTATTCGTACCCTGCTTGTCATCCATCTTTCCTTCATACCTATTGTATCTTCCTTTTCCTTCCTTCTTTCCTCCCCTTTCTTTTCTTTTATTCCACCTTTCCCTCTACCCTTCCTGTCTTCCTTTCTTATTTTCTTTTCTTCCACCTTTCCTTCTTCCCTTCCTGTCTTCCTTTCTTCTTTTCCTCCCTATCCTTCATTGTTTTCTTTCTTTCTTTCTTTCTTTTCTTTCTTTCTTTCTTTCTTTCTTTCTTTCTTCTTTCTTTCTTTCTTTTCTTTCTTTCTTTCTTTTCTCTTTCTTTCTTTCTTTCTTTCTTTCTTCCTTCCTTCCTTCCTTCCTTCCTTCCTTCCTTCCTTCCTTCCTTCCTTCCCATTCCTTTCCTTTCCTTCCTACCTTCCATCCTTCCTTCCCCCTCCATATCCTTCATTCTTACCCTTCTTTTCTCATACCTTTCCTTCCTCTCTTCCTATCTTATCTTCTTTTTCTTTCCCTCTTTTCTTTTTCCTCCCTGCCCCTTTTTCCCTTCTTGTCTTCCATTTTTCTTTCCTATTGTATCTTCCTTTTCCTTCCTTCTTTCCTCCCATTTCTTTTCTTTTTTTTTTCTTTTCTTTTCTTCCACCTTTCCTTCTTCCCTTCCTGTCTTCCTTTCTTTTTTTTTCCTCCCTATCCTTCATTGTTTTCTTTCTTTCCTCTCTTTCTTTCTTTCCTCTCTTTCTTTCTTTCTTTCTTTCTTTCTTTCTTTCTTTCTTTCTTTCTTTCTTTCTTTCTTTCTTTCTTTCTTCTTCCTTCCTTCCTTTCCTTTCCTTCCTACCTACCTTCCATCCTTCCTTCCCCCTCCATGTCCTTCATTCTTACCCTTCTTTTCTCATACCTTTCCTTCCTCTCCTATCTTCTTTTTCTTTCCCTCTTTTCTTTTTCCTCCCTGCCCCTTTTTCCCTTCATTTCTTCAATTTTTCTTTCCTCCCTTGCTATCTTTCATTCTTCTCTGTCTTTAATAATTTCCTTCCTCCCTGTCCCCCACCCCCCTTTTCCAATGTAAAACATATTAAAGAGGAACTTTATTCAGAAAATTAAGTCCTGCTGCATCTCTTCCTGCAGGTAAAACATTAAAAGCAAGTCCCTATACTGTTTAAAATCCAGTAATACCCGGTGCTCAACCTGTTCTGCACATGCTCAGTGCTTTCTATTTTTTGACACTGTGATGAAAATTTAGAGGCCGATCTGCTGACAACCTAAAAATGTACTGCTGCCCAGGGACTCTGCGCTTCAGCAAAATGGCAGCCTTTAGCAAGCAGAAACAGGAACAATGCTGGAGGCAATGTACAGAACACACTAATTTTGGTAACATATTATTAATGTGGAATGTTTGTTCCTTGCTAAAGAACATTATTTTTTATCAAGTTGTTATGGATAAAGGTCTACTGTAACACAAAATATTGATACTGTTAGTTGCTGCGAAGCTAAATGTTCTTTTCTTTGTTCATTCCAGATTGAAATCTATTCAGACAGGGAACATTTCCAGGTATTCATAGATGACAGCAAGATCATCCAATTTCGCCACCGAGTGAAGCACTTCTCTGGCATAACCAAACTGCAGATCCTGAACGACATTAACATTTCCTCTGTGGAGATCTGTAGGCGTGAAATGTATGAGTAGATATGGCCAAACCTTAAAAAAAACATTCAGTACAAGGAGCAATGGTACACAGTCCAGTACTCCAGTGCAACCAATCAGAATTTGGCCTCAGAACTCTTCTTAGCCGTGACAGTTATGGCATTTTGTATTATTGCTTTGTGTTTTGCTTTATTGAGTGAGCCTGTATATCTGTACATCTCCTTCTAAGTTATATCAGAACATAATGGCTTCAGAATGCATGCACACCCCCTGTTATTTGTAACAATGATAAAAGAAAAAAATAAAGCTTCTTTTAGGTTGGCCATAGACTGGGTGAATTTTTCTGACCAATCTGATGTACAAGTAATAAACTTATTTGCAAATTGAAACAGCTAATAGACTGACCAAGATCAGATTTATTAGACAGAAAAGGTTTTTCAGCATATGAGTATGTTACCATTCATACAATCAGAACAACCAATTATGGGGGAGATTTACTGGTGCACACAGAATCTGGTGCAGCTGTGCATAGCAACCAATCAGCTTCTAACTTTTGACTGTTCAGTTAAGCTTTGACAATAAAACCTGGCAGCTGATTGGTTACTTTTTTACAGCTGCACCAGATTCTATGCATCAATTTTAATCTCACCAAATCTCTCCCTATGCTCAGGTAAAATATTGTTTGCATTTTAGAGCATCATCTTGTTCATGTAGTCTTATCTTGTTTACACCGCATTCCAAATTATTATGCAAATTCTATTTATCACAAAGGTTAAATATTTTGTTTTTCAGTTTAACTCATGGATGGCATTGTGTGTCAGGGCTCTTTTGATCACTGAAAACAATCTCGGACACCTTTGATAATTAGATTGGCAGGTGAGCCCAATTTAAGGAAAAACTACTAAAGGACGGTGTTCCACATTATTAAGCAGAGCACCTTTTTCAAGCAATATGGGGAAGAAAAAAGATCTCTCTGCTGCCGAAAAGAGTGAAATAGTTCAATGCCTTGGACGAGGTATGAAAACATTCGATATTTCACGAAAACGTAAGTGTGATCATCACACTATTAAGAGATTTGTGGCTGATTCGTGCAGATAAAAGGCACATTGAGGAAGATTTCTGCCAGATCCATGCATCGGATCAAGACAGCAGCTGCTAAAATACCATTACATAGCAGCAAACAGATATTTGAAGCTGCTGGTGCCTCTGGAGTCCCACGGACATCAAGGTGTAGAGTCCTCCAGTCTTGCAACTGTGCATAAACCTTCTATTCGGCCACCACTAACCAATGCTCACAAGCAGAAACGGCTGCATTGGGCAGAAAAATACATGAAGACTAATTTTCAAACAGTCCTGTTCACTGATGAGTGCCGTGCAACCCTGGATGGTCCAGATGGATGGAGTAGTGGATGGTTGGTGGAAGGCCACCCTGTTCCAACAAGGCTGCGACATCAGCAAGGCGCTGGTGGAGTCATGTTTTGGCCAATCATGGGAACAGAGCTGGTTGGCCCCTTTAGGGTCCCCAAAGGTGTAAAGATGACCTCTGAAAAGTATGTGTCGTTTATGACTGACCACTTTCTTCCTGGTACAGAAGGAAGAACTATGCTTTCCGTAATAAAATCATCTTCATGCATGACAATGCACCATCTCATGCTGCAAAGAATACCTCTGCATCAATGGCTGCTATGGGGATAAAAGGAGAGAAAGTCATGGTGTGGCCTCCATCCTCCCCTAACCTCAATCCTATTGAGAACCTTTGGAGCATCCTCAAGCAAAAGATCTATGAGGGTGGGAGGCAGTTTACATCCAAACAGCAGCTCTGGGAGGCTATTCTGACATCTTGCAAACAAATTCAAGCAGAAACTGTCTAAAAACTCACAAGTGCAATGGATGCAAGACTTGTGAAGCTGCTATCAAATAAGGGGTCCTATGTTACAATGTAACGTGACCTGTTAAAATGTTTAAAAAGTTAAAATGTTGTTAAAAGTTTGATTGAAATAGCTTTTGATTCCAGTAAATATGCTGCAAACACAACAAATGACAATTTTCAGTTCTTTACAACCTATAAAGTGTTTTGAAACTTACTGTGCGTAATAATTTGGAACAGTGCATTGTAAGTATTTTATGTTTAAAAAAAATACCGTTATCATTAGGAGGTTTGTTCAATAAAATTTGAATTGTACTCTTAATAGTTGATAACATGAGAATTATGCTGACTGTTATTTACATCAATTATTTAGGTAAATGAGAAAAATATAATTTGCATAATAATTTGAAACAGGGGCGTAGATTAGCCACTGTCCCAACTTTGGTCAAGACTTAAGTTGGCCATACGCTAGTAGATGTTGTTTGAACATTCGTACAAAAATTATCAATACATCCCATGATGTGAATGGCGTTTGAAAGTACTTCAAAATGTAATTTACTTTTAACATTTGATTTTTGAATGTTGAGCCTGCAAGGAAAGTCCACCCAATGCAGCTTCCCCTATCCTTGTCAGCAACCCATCACTGGTGAGCAGGGGGGGCGGACTGACAACTCATGAGGCCCCCGGGCAATAGGGTACATGGGGCCCCTGTGTTCTTGCCCAAACTCAAAAAAACCTATGAAAAAGGTACCAGGGGCATCTCGTGGGGCCCCCTACTGACCCTGGGCCCTCGGGCAGTGCCCGAGTTTCCAAATGGTCAGCCCGCACCTGCTGATGAGACACGTCAAGGAGGGTTTCAAGTGGAGATAACAATGTTCACTGGAGTGTTGTGAAGAGGGTGAGGACTGCTGCTGGTCAGGCATCTGAGTGGATCCTCCAAAATGGACCAGCTAAGTGATGTCAGCCAATAATAGTAATAATGTGTAGACAAAAATAAAAAAAAAAAAAAAAAAAGCTAACTCAAATGGGTTTCTGCAACCAAAGGACAGTGCTCCCTCCCTCAGCCCACAATTGAAATGTAAAAAAGTTGCACCTTCCCTAGTTAATTAATGCCTAAATATGTGTACCAGTAAACATGTGACTCAATATGTAACTAAACATAGTAACCATTATCAAATATACAATATAGAAAGTGAATCACTGGAAACACAAACCTCCAAATGTTACACAGTCCTGAATGTAAACATCCCATATCTATAGATAACAGTGATCTTCAAACACATTATTTCATCGTGACATCTTCCACCATCTGTGTTCATAAATACGAAGCCCTGAAGAAGTCACGTGACCGTGACAACATGCGTTGGTTGGAGTCAGGTGCCAATACCGGAAGTGATGTAGGAGCCGCCGCCCCCCGCTGTCTAAAATATAAAGTTTTCTTCTTACTTATGTAAGTGTAATACTTCTAAATACAGCGTAGTTTTAAGAATTACTACACTATGAGGGTACCCCTTCTCTTGCTGAGCTTGGTTGCAGAACGGACATTGCTGTCTTAAAGGGCCATACACCTGGAGTGGGGTGTCACTGTAGATGGTTGAGAGAGTACCTGCAGTGGAGGAACAAGATATGAGACCTACCCTAGGCTACGAAGAGTGCATTTGACCTAGCTGACTGACTAGGGGAGGCTTGTATTTGCAGTGATTCACTGTCTATATTGTATATTTGATAATGGTTATTATGCTTAGTTATATATTGAGTCACATGTTTACTGGTACACAAATATTTAGGCATCACTTAACTAGAGAAGGTGCAACCAATCCTTTTTTACATTTCAGATGTCAGCCAACAGTAGGCTTTAGCCCGCTGTTGGCTGAATAAGGGTCACAGGAGAGCAGAACTAAGTGCACTCCTGTGACCAACAAAAAAAAGTAGGGCCAAAAGAGCTTTGGCCCTACATCTTCTTTTACATTTCAAACATAAATGTATCTTTTATATTTGCAAATATTTTGGATGCTTAGGCCCCATCTATCACTCGCAAGCCCTTCACTCACACCATTCTGCAAGAGTTTTTTTAAAGCTATCTAAAGTTTTTTTTTTTTACTTACTGACATGTTTTCCTTTGGTGATGCCTATTCTGGGTGTGGAGACCTAAGATCCAGTTCTGTAGTCCAAACCTACCACCTTCTGCTTTTTATTATAACATCATCAAGCTGCTGTAGTCTTCTGGAACCTGATAGAACCCCACTACTGGACAGCCAACGGAAAGTGTCCATGTCCTTTGGGCAAACGACATGGACACTTCAAGAAATATCCTCCTACTCTGCAGTTTAGAAGATAGACCAAGGACCCTGCATGTCACATGACTAGTGATTAAAGTATTTGGACATTTAGAGTAGTTTTTCTATTTAATTAGGCGATTAGGTAGAGGGGTGGCGTGGGAAGTAAACTTTGGCCAGACATAAGATCAGTAATAGATCAATAAAAGCACTATGTTCAGCACTGTCTTATGTGCTTGGCTAGCCTGAATATATGCAGATAACTGCTCTAAGAGACAAAACTTCAAAGGACCTCTCTAACACTCTGGGGTTACCCACCCGTGCTTTTGTCAACCAGCAAAAGTCCACATTAGTTTACATCACCCTGCATTTCCAATGTAGTATTAAAATCAACTTTATAAATCCAAATAAAGAATGTAAATTCATAAGTGAAATATGTCAGGGGCTCTCAGAAGTACATTTTCCACTTAATAAAACCATAGATTAATTGATTTTCAGATCTTACGCCACGGGTGGAAGGAAATAAAATCTCTTGATTTTGTTTCAGCACATTCAGTGTTGATGGGGGAATGCCTCAGGCAGCACTATTATATTCTGATGGGGTGCAGGGAACAGACTACAATTATTTCTACCAGTGGCTATACCAGTCTGTAGTAATTGAATGCTAAAAGTCTGACAGGCTGGTTGTACCCAAGTCGATCAAGAGACAGGTGCACAGTCTTTTGTGGAATAGAGAGAAGGGTGCACAATGGGCTGTAGAGTAGAGAGAGTGATACATATTGGGCATAGGAGAGTAGAGAGGGCTGCAGAGTATGCTGAAGAGTATTAGGGGTGTACAGTGGCCTGTGGAATAGATAGAAGGGTGCAGAGTGAGTTGTGAAATAGAGAGTGGGCTTCAC